TGAATTGTGTGAGGGAGGAAAAGGAGAAAGATTTGGACTATAGGAGGCATGGACGCTGTTTTAGGGTCCAGAGGACCATGATCTGCAGTGTGTTTTTGTGTATATGTATGCACATGGTCAAGGTGGTGGTGGGGTCCTCCCCAACTTGGTATCAACTCCCAGTGTGACCCAGGAAGCCACAACAGAGCTGCAGAGTTGGCCATGTGCAGCAACGAAGCCAGGTGGTGGCATCCTTGGGAGGACATCACATTGCTGATGATGTCGAGATGTCCTTCCATCAAATGACTCAGGAGCAGTGAGCACAAACAAGGAGGAGACCCGGGGAAAATAAGATGGCTAGGCTTGTTCCTAAGCGCAGCCGCCACAGGGGGTTTTGACATCTTAGAGGAGACAAGTGGGAGTTGTCAGTGGTAGCCAAAGTTTTGGATGGGCAGAAGAAGCTGGAGATGAGATTCAGAGGTTAATGTCTGAATCCTCACTTACGCACACAGGCTCATGCAGTTTGGGGCTATACGAATATCGAGCCAGCTCCTGTTAGGAATCATGGTGACACAGGGATGCTCCTCCTACATTCTCCTCCAAAAGGAGTCTCTTCTCTGTCCTGTTTTGCTATTTTATGTCCTATGTCTGTGTGTGTGTGTGTTTTGTAACAGGGTCTCACTATGCAGTTCAGGCTGGTCTTGAGCTCGCTTTGTAGCTCATGCTGGTCTTGAACTAGCAATGATCCTCTTGCCTCAGCCTCCCAAGTGTTGGGATTACAGGAGCGTGCCACCATGCCCAGCTATGGTTCTATGTCTTGAAGACAGAACCCTGGGTTAAAGACTTTCTTAACCTCCAAGAAAACTGAGGAAAGAATATGTTTGAATGAAATGAAAATCTGTAGAGTTGCAAACAAATTCCTTGAAATGTAAGCTTCTAAGACCGCTGGGTTGTATGGGAGACATCTGGAAAATATGGGTATTGGGTAGTTGGGATCCTTTTGTAGGCAACTCTGGCCTGCCCTGGCTGGGCAGCTTTTGCCAGAGCAAGACTCTTACTCTCTCCATTTAGGATACCGTCGATATTTCTGCTGTCCTGCAGGTGGCGCCACAATGTAGGTTTTCAAGCAGCAGACACCTGAGTTTTTTATCCCGGGCACTGTAGGAGCCAAGGGGCAGCCACTTAGCGGGAGAATTTTTGTCTGTAGCACCACCAGGCTCTGGTGATTTGTTTAACGAGAAGATCTGGCTTTTGTCAACGTAAATAGCAGCTCTATTCCTAGGCCAATAAAATGGTGGTAGCTAAGTGAAACAAAACTTTCACTCTCTCCTAAAAAAGAAAACTTTTTTCTCTCTCCTATGAAATCTGGTCTTTTATTCAAGAGGTGAGTCCATACTTTTCTCCCAAATCTGGCAATAAACCACAACCCCTTCCCTAGCTCCTCCTTAGAAACAGGACTGTATGAAGCAGTATGCCACTTGCTTCTCCCTCTTGTGGCCATGGGTCCAGGCAGTGACTCGCCCAATCTCACTAGCAGGCTAGGGGAGGAGTAGATGAGAGACTATCGTCAGCAGGAAACAGCTAGATGGCCTTTTGCATCCCTCTTTGCCCTTCACCAGCTGGGAGGGCTTGGCAGAGGTGCGAGAGTCAGAGTTCTGGAACCTAATGCAGAAACAAGCTTTGAACCATTAGACACGGCTGCCTTTTTCACTGTGTCTGTTCACAGAGAAGAGTCAAGAGACCTGCTCTTGTTGCATTGTACCATGGCACACAAATATATGTTCATCTGAAAAGCAATTTTAACGCCTTTATGTGTGTACCGCACTTGAGTTAGTGTTTCAAAGCACCAACTAGTAATGTCTCCTTTGGATGTCACTGCAGTTCTAAGAGATAATATGGCAGGTGAGAGATAAAATCTCACCGAGAGCATGTGGCCTGCTGCAGATGATAATGCTGATCATTGCAGAGCCAGGAGTATGACACAGGTCTTGTGGCCTCAACATAGTGACCCTTCTCACCTCTCTGTGCTATTCTCCAAACTTGAGGGAGAAGTTCCAATGGGCTGTCATCAAGCCCCATGCTGGGACAAATTTGGCCTTCCTGCTCTTCCTCACAAGGATGTCCTGCTGTAAGTGCCCCTTAGGAATGTCTTTCTCTGTGCTATTCAGGACGGCGAAAGGGAGACAAGGCAGGTGAGGCGAGGCACCACTGAGAACAGGAGAGCTAGTGGGACTCCTCGCCTGACTATTGTTGGTCCAGCTTTCGGTGTGCTTCTTCCCTGCTATTTGGCTCTGAGTTACTCTTCAGACACCACATGGCATTCACTTCCCTGAATGAAAAAAAATGACCCAACATGCTAGGCAGCAGATAAAGAATAATAAACATGTTTTATTTGCCATCTCTGAAAAAGAAAGGTCTTTGACTTCTGGCTCATCCATCAGGAAATGGGTGTGGTGCTCTCAGCCACACACACACACACACACACACACACACACACACACACACACACACTACAAGGGACAGAAAGAAGTCACATGGTGTTAAAATATACACTGGGATGACTGACTGGGGAGGGGACAGAGCCGTTTTCACACTTCCTCCTCCTTTCAGCAGTTTTGTGACATGGACTGGAAGCCCAGTGACAAACAGACGTTTGAAAAGATCCTTCTACATTTATTGAACCATATCCCTTAAGTAACGCACTGGGGTTTTCCATGGGTCTCTCTGGGCACAGCCTGTGATGGCCCCAGGTAGCAGTTTTAGAGACTGGAAGCCCAGTGACAAACAGATGTTTGAAAAGATCCTTCTACATTTATTGAACAATATCCCTTAAGTAATGCACTGGGGTTTTCCATGGGTCTCTCTGGCACAGCCTATGATGGCCCCAGGTAGCAGTTTTAGAGGCAACTCTGGAAGCAGGACAAGGTGAGTGAGGCCTGTTTTATCCAGATGAGGTAGGGATCCCTTTTGATTTTGCATCAGGTGTCTTGCCACCCTCCTGGAAGTCCCTGTCCTGTACAGACAGACATTAGATCCTGAAGCATCCTCAGCCCTGGAAGAATGTCTAAGAAGCATTGAATTACCTTGTTTTGTGTTTCTCTGGACTTCTGAAGCTAACTTGATATTGTGTGCTAACTTGATATCTAGTGTCTGGGATCCAGGGTTTCTGAGAAGAGAGGAGCCAGATCAATGCTTTAACATATGCTAATATGATAATCCTTGTTGCTTTCTGGGTCTTGCAGGACTCAGCAGAGAACCAGAGACTAACAGGGCTCCACGCTGTCTCCAGGATGGCCTTTAACCAAAGACTCAAATGTCTGCTTGCCTCCCACACTGGCTTGATTCATTTCCTCTTCATCAGTGAGAGGGAAGTTTTGATGAGGTCCCATGGGGGTGAGCCCAACCTGACCCACACATACCGCCAGCCTCAGGTGGCTATGGTTATCCCAAAGTCTTTCCAGTTTATAACTCTGATTTCTGCAGAAGGTATAATCCCTATAGGAAGGTGTAGAAATTTATGCTTGGGTCAATCATTTCTACCTAATAGGAAAGCTCACAGATGTTTGCATGGGAGGGGAAGTAGTGGGGAGGGAAAAATTGCTGAGTGGGTTGAAAAGTTAAGTTGAAGAAGGGACATGGTGGGTGGGGACAAAAATGGTGGGGTCCTCTAGCAGGCCAACCTTGGTGGGTGCCCACAGGAAACTAGGGTAGAAATGTGATGAGGGAGGTATGCAGATGGGTGAGTAGATAAGGTGGCATCCTGAGGTTTCTCTTGACCAGTGGAGCACAGTGGGTGGGCTATGCCGACGTTTCTAGGTAGTGTCATTCATTTCCTGTCCTCATGGACTTCACCCTTGCCAGATGGCTGTCTAAATCAGAGCAATCTTGAGATTTCTTCCTTAGGGCTACTGAAACTACCCCTGATGTTGGCATTATCCGGCAGGATTGTGGTTTGAGATCTAGGGTTTCAGAAAAGAACACAGCCAGGTCAGCCTCTTTGTGCAGACATCACTGGACCAGCGCATCAGGTTACCCAGCGAGCTCCAGGGCACTTGGCCATTCCTGCTCTAGTGCAGGCATTCTGTCCTTGGTCCTAGGGCTCTTCGGTTGTCCCACAGGAAAGCCACGGTGGGTGGGGGTGGGGGTTGGGTCGTTCTGGTTAGGAATGGGTTTTTGCTTTGGCCTTAGCATGCGCCCGTGTCAGCTCTGAACACCTGAGGGTCCCTCCAACCGTTCGCGTTCTCCTTACCAGGCGGCCGAGTGTGCTTTACTGTAAGCGAGCGCCTTGCGTGCGCTCAAGTCACTGTGCGTTCGCCCCTGTGCTCCACATTGGCACTACCAGGGTAGCTCAAGGAAGGCTGAGGGGACCCAGGAGAGTGGGAGCCAATGTCCGCGCCGGGGAGAGCAGACGAGCCGGCGTCGGTGGCGGCGGCGGGTGTGAGCTCGCGGGGAGGCGCCCCCTGCCCCCTCTGCCGGCCGCTCTCCCTCGGTTTAGATGCAGCCGCGAGCTCCGAGCCAGCGAGAGCGAGCCAGAGAGGGAGCGGCGGGCTGCGGGGAAAGGAGGGGAGGGGGGAGGCGAGGGAGGGAGGAAGGGAAGCGGGGAGGCGGGAGGGAGGAGAGGAGGACCCAGAGAGCGCCAGGCAGCTGGAGTTTTTGCAGCGCTTGGCCGGGCTTCAATGCACAGCAGCAGCGAGCCGCGGCGGCAGCAGGCAGCCCGGGAGCTCCGGCGGCGGCCGAGCCAGCGGCAGCCCCGCTCCCTGCCCCCTGCAAACTTTGCGAGCAGCCCGCCGGGGGGGCCGGGGGCGCGCCCGGGAGGCCCGGCTCAGACCGCGTTCTTGGCCGCCGCAGCGCCGGCGGCCACCACCGCAGCCCCGCGCCTCCCGGGGGAGCAGCCGGCGGCTCCCGCGGACCCCCAGCCCCGGCCCTTGGGCATTGCCCGAAGAGTCTCGCAGCAGGGGCGGGGGCAGCAGCGGCGCGGCCGGCCACGGGCTGCCCGGGGACAGCCGCGGCTGCCCAGCGAGGCGCGCAGAGGCGCAGAGAGCGCTCCCCGGCGGGTCCCCGGCGCACTCACCGCGCCCGGGCAGCGGCCCGGCCGGGCGAGCATGGGCGGCGCGGAGTGACGCCGCCGTGCCCGCTTGGCATCAAGGACATTCAGCCCGCGGGGGTGGGGACGAAGAGGGGCAGCCCCGCGTCGCCACCGCAGCCCCTGAGAGCCGTCACTGCCGCTGCCGCTTGGGCTTCGGGCTGGGTTAAGGAAAGGGGTGCCTGGAACCGATCCACATTTCCCGACCTTTTTGTTGGACATTACGCCCACCTTGGACGCTGCAAGAGGCGCTGTCAAGCCCCGCAGGCTCTGATTTAGCCCCTTCCGTTTTCCTTTGCTGCTCCCGGCTTCCCTGTGTCTCGGTGGAGTATTTGCGTTCTGGGCTGGGGCTGGAGGAGGCAGCCACACGCGCGCACACGCACACGTTCAGAGGAGGGCGAGAGGCAGCGGCACAGGCACCATCTGCAGTGTCAATGCGGCGCTCCCGCTGAAGGAGGGAAACGCGGTGCTCCCAGGTAAGGAGGCGGCCAGCCGGGGCGCGGGGCCGGGAGGGCGGCCAGGGCAGCGCAGGTGGAGGTACCCGGGCCGGCCTCGGAGTCCTCGGCTGCCCCGCGCCAGCCGATCGCACACACACACACACACACACACACACACACACACACGCACGCACACAAATACACACAGGCACATACTGCGCTCACGCACCTGCCCACGTCCCACCTGGACACCGTCGTAGGTGCAGCGCGGCCAGAGCAGGGATTTCCCATGTTCTTTCTCTTGTCACACTCCTGGACTCAAGACTTCTCTTACCCAGGACTTTCAGGGTGGGAGTCAGTGTATGTCTGGCTCTCCCTCCCACCGGGCTGGGCTGAGGGAGTGATTTTTCAGTTTCCAGCCCCTTTCATCCTTGGCTGTTTTTTTTTTTTTTTTTAACGGGGAAAGTCATGGGAGGTCTTCAGAGACCCGCCCAGTGTAATCAGTCCTCAGTGGCCTTCGGACACCTCGTGATTTTAAGGGAAGACACACTGACAGATATTCGGACAGGTTTTTGGAGAGTGGTGGCCCGGTGCGCTGGGAGGAGGCCACATAGGCTGATGGGGCTGCAGTTCTGTAGGGCGGTGCATGTGGAACAGACACTGCGTTTCCCCAGTAAGAGGCAGCACATACGCCTTTCTGAAGCATGGCACAGCTACCCAGGGAATGCGCCGGGATTTCAGGGAGGAAGGGGCTTAAGCATCGCAGTGCAGCAGGAGTGTAGCAGGTCTGGAGTGGTTATGGGATCCGATTCTCCTTAATAGACATGACCTTACTCACACCCTAGGTCCCTTGGACGCAGCAAACAGACAAGGCTTGGGGGCCCAGGACCCTGTCTCTCTCTCACCTCGCACCCTTCCTTGGGTACATGGGGCTGCTTTCCTGTGTGCCCCTGGCTAACACCTGTCATGTGCCTTTTGAGGCATGTGTCTGAGACAATGAAGTAGGAGTGGGGAACACAGGGTTGTAGTCCTCTTGGGGAGAACCGTCCCTCTCTCAAGATCACATCAGAGGTGTCTATTCTTGGTTCTGCCAGCATCCGCTAGAGCCTGGTTACTCCTGGATGCAGAATTGCTGTCCAGAAGCTAGTGATTCAAGCTTCTTTTTCCTTAAAGCTTTTGCTTTCCTTTTCTCCTTGGCTGGAGTTCCACAGGGTGCTTATCTTCAAAGTTTTCCTGACGGAGGTAGGAGATGGGGAGTTCCACAGGGGCTTTTTCATAGTTCCCATTTTGGAGTCTGAGAGTAACTTATTTGGGGGCTCAGTTGTTGCAGGAAGGAGTGGGAGAGCCAAATGAAACATTATTTGGAGTTTGAATATGTTTCCTGGCTGTCCCTTTGAGGTTGCCTTTTGGGTAACATGACCAAAAAAAAAAAAAAAAGGGATAAGCTTGTGCCTTTTATATAAGACCATGTGTTCCGAGTGTCCCACAAATACACCAGTAGGAGAAATATGTTGGGAGTCTTCTGGAATAGGAGAGGCAAGGAGCAAACATTTTTTTGAACAAGGAGGCCTCCGTGCTGGGCACAGAATTTGGCTTGCTTATATAAATCCTGAAAGATGGATGCAGAAATAAGGGGCTTTTCCTGTATCCCCAGATCTGCTATTTTCAAACTTTTTTCAGCTCTTGCCACGGTTTCTGGTTAGGCTAGGGAGAAGTGCAGACACCCCAGGAGGGAGATTGTATTCCCTGCTGTGTGCAGTGTGAGCTGCCCTTTGATTGATTGAAAAGGGTAGACAGAATAAAGCAAAGCCTCACAATGGGGAGATCCCAGCCAGGGAAAGAAACATTTTCTTTTTTAAGAACAGTGGACCCAGGCATGCACACTCACAGGCATCCAGATGCACACGAATTCTCAGAGCCTAAGCAACTGTGGCAAACTGGTCCAACTATGTGTGATAGTGGGATTCACTTCTGTTTTCTGGGCTGTGGAAAAACTGGCACATTTCTGCATGCATGCCCTTCGAGTGCGTAGACAGGGAGGTTCCACGTACGCTTATGGTGGCACATGGTTTGCAGCAGAAATAGTGAGCTCCTGCAACAGTGGGTGCCTCTCACGTAAACATTCCCTCATGGCACCTGTAAGAGGCAAAAGGTTGGGCTACAGCTCTTCCTGGATTGTTTGTACATCTCTCCTGTAGAGCTCTGCCTTTCTCCTTCTCCTTCTCCTTTTCTCATGTATTCATAACCTCAAGATCCTTCATTTTAATGTCGAGCCAACAGTCATTCTGCTGGTAAGAACTAAACACCAAGGATCAAAAATCCCGGCATTTTCTGCACTTAGCGGAAAATGCTAAGTGGGTACCAATCTGGTTTCTAGGACAAGGCAGCTATTAATTAAAATCTGGGTGTAAGGCTGGGTGCTTATTTTCTGATTTCTTGCATGGCTCTCTTGTCTGGCCCTGGAATATGCCACATTGTCATTCTCCCCCTCCCAGTCTTTCATGGATTCCTTTTAAATTCTTTCAGGGCTCCCTCACTGAAAGGCAGTCAATCGCACAGGAAAGGCCCAGCAGTGAATGCTTTCTGGACTCACTCTTACAGAGGCTGGAATGTCTTTTGGTAGCTCTCAGGTGAACACAGAAAATGCGTTGCCTAGAAGCTACTCCTTTCCAGACTCCCAAGACTTTATCTGGCTGCGCATGGACACTCTGCAAACATCTCCAGAGGAATTTGTCTGAGGCAGCTAACTTGCTCTGTTTCTCCTCTATGGCTCACCTGCTGCTGCAGCTCCCATAAACAGGGAAGTCTGCATGGCAGTCTGCTTACCCTTGGCCTCTGGATGCTTTAAATCACAATGAGGGCTGCTGGGAATTAAGTGGGGGACTTTCTAGGGCGGCAGCAGTCCTGAAGTAAGAGAGTTAGGGGGATGGGCTGGCAATTACTCTTAGTTCATAGTTATCACCAGGCTTTGATGCAAATAAATCACGTGGAGTCTCTCTCCTCCTAGCCAGCTAGGGGGCATTTCATAGCTGCTTCTCCCCATTCTCACTTAGAGAAAGCACACACTACACAGACAATGCACATCAGAGACCTGTTGGAGTGGCTCCATGATTGGCTGTGACGGGGCGACAGCAATACTGCAAACCCAACCGCGATCTATCTCTGCTGTGATTAATCTGTGCAACAGATGTGCCACCCTCTGTTTGCTTCTTTTTATTTGTTTCCAGTGCCACCAGATAGGAAACTGGTTCAGATCCTGGGCTGCTGCATAGGTTCATTTTTCTTCCTGGACGCCCCCTTTTCTACTCCTCCAACGCCCCTTCTTTCCTCTCCTCCATTTGTTAATCCACCTCTTGGCTTTGTGTGCACTTCCACCCGCCCATTCTCCCTCAAATTTGCGGCAGTCCAAGAAATCAATGTAACATGAATTTAACGACAGCTGGATGATTAAGTGTTATTTATATTTAAAAGCAGCATTTTAAAAAGATGTGGCGCTAATAAATCAAATGGCTGTTTGGGAGAGGCACATGATTAGGGTAATTGCCCTATAGGCTTCGGCCAGTGGTGCTTGGTCCACATAGAGCCCTGCGAACGGATACTGTCTCTTTAAAAGTCCCTGCCACTGCGCCCTCCCTGATCGCTTTCCGGCTACCCTGTACTGTCCCAACTTACTCTTCTGTCACTGCCGGTGCTTGCTGCCTAGGCTGCAGCATCCTATTTGTGGCAGGAAGGTGGAGCCAGCCAGAGACCGAAGGGGGGGCTCTGCTCTAAGTGGTAAAGAGATGGATCTTAAAAGGAAAGGCAGGCAGGGGGTCCTAATTCCTGATCAGAGGTCTTGTTCCTGAAGGAGGAGGCTGCTGCTCTGTTTGGTAAGAAGCAGCTTGGTAGAAAAGCTTCTGGAGTCCTACACAAGGACCTCTCCTGTGATCATCTCTCTCCCTGGGGAAGAGGCTATGCAGACATAGCACTGATCTTAATCCTTATGGAGACAACGGTTTGAAAAATAATAGTAATAATAATGACAATGATAGTATTTATGGAGTATTTGCTGGGTAAAATCTCATTTAAATACTTTATAGGAGGCTTGGATCATTTATTCCTCAGAAGCTCTCACCTGAGAACTGGTTATTGTATCCCCACGTCTTTTATGATGAAGCTGAAGGAGACAGGTTAAGAACTTTATCCAAGGTCACACAGTGGCCAAGTGCTGGAGCCAAATCTCAGTCTGACCTGGCCCTTGTCACTATGTTGATTGCCTCCTTGGGATATATGTGCTTAGCATGTGGTCAACATCCTGGGAAACTTGTGGCACAGTGTGTTAGGGGCAGATTTAGAATATTTGGCCCGACTCTTCCCTTGGGGTGCTTCTCACTCAGGCAAATATATATTATTTACTCCTGGAACCTCAGTGTCCCCATTCTTCAAAGAAGGGTGAGTCTTTATTTGTGGCCATTTGCAGATTGTTAAGTTGTGTGGCTCTTCCTAGCAATGTGCTCTGCTCCTGAAGGTGATCTTTTCCTCATTTGGCAATTCCTATTTTCTCCTGGGAAAAACTAAAGCAGTGCAAATGAGTGAAGTCCCCATCTCTGCTTCTGATTCTCAGATGTTCCAATTGTGGTAGGAGTCTGGTAATTTCTAGTGACTGCTACAGATTGCTGGTAATGTGGAAATGCCACTTTCTCATCAAATCCTGAAAATAAGTCTGGAAGGTAGATATTGTGGATTCCCATTTTGATGGCATAGGAACTTAGGCTGAGAAGAGAGTTTAAGGGAGAAGCCCCAGGTCCTAGTTGCTAAGCAACAGATGGCTGCATTCTTAACAGTGCACTGCTCACAGAATGCTTCAGACTTGTTCTTTCACTCATTCACCAGCTCTGGAGTTCCAGATCTTGGGATCTAGATGCAGGGATACATCATGCCATGCTGGTTAACCTAGGTCCTATGACAACTGAGGCAGATTCATTCAAAGTCAGTATGAATGGTCCGCGTAGTGGGAGTCGTTCTGCAGCACTCCCTGGACTTCCCACAGGTCTCTGTGC